TAAATTGATGTAATTTCACTATTGAATTTAACATTTCTATAGTAGTCGTGTATCCTTGGAAGAGAACAATGCGTTCTTCAAATCGCACCCCTTGGGATAACAGTGGTCGAATCTTCCGTTCGACTTCACTGTCAGCGCCTATTCTATATGCATTTCAAAGCTTTGTGAACGTTGTTTCCTTTCACGTATTGTATGAGAAATAGGCATGCAACGGTGACGATAATTTATCGATTTATCGTTATCGATTTTGTCGTATCTTACCGATTATCGCTTCCTACCGATTGTCGTTATCGTACTTATTGCTTCTTACCGATAAAACCGATACGTTTCTAACGCTTGCTGAGCAAAATCAAAATAGAGAAAGTGAGTTTGCAGCAAGGATAAACTCATCATCTTTTTCTTTTCTTGTCTTCCTTATATCAGAGAACTAGCAAATAAGAGATACCCCTTCTCGAGTATGCAGGTGTATATATATGACTCTAGTTCAGTTTATTCTTCATAACTCAGTCAGTTTTGATCCAAATTTTATAAAACAACTACCGTAAGACTCACAAGATTTCGATCTATTTACAGACGTAAAAACAGTTCAAGACTCTCACAGCGGAACCTTCCAAAGGATTCAATCAAAGTCGATTTTTTTTGCTATTTGAATAATAATAGCATACGTCATTGACTTTGATCGAGTCCATTGAAAAGTTCTACTGCGGAAGTCTAGAACTGTTTTTACGTCTGTAAATAGATCGAAATCTTGTGAGTCTTACGGTAGTTGTTTTATAAAGTTTGACCGATTATCGATAAGGACTGATGATCAATACGACGATAATTGGTAAGGATCGATAATCGTTACCATTGCATGTCTAATGAGAAAAGAGAGAAAACGTTCTCTTAGTAATTGAAACTTTTTTTTTTTTAACAGTATGTATTTTTTCCTGAGTAAAGACATTTGATGAAACTCTCTTCTTTTCGTTTCTACTGATATGATCAAAATCTGTTTGTGGACAATTAGAAATGTTATACGGACAGAGATTGCAAATTCCTCAATGGCCACCAGTTAGCTCAGAATTACCTATTTATCCAGAATTTTGTTTTCCATCTCGGAAAAAGTGAATTTAATCAGATGCACATAATTTTCACTAAAAAATACTTTCCAACAAACTTCAGGCATCCGTGTGCTGAATCTTAGCAATGTTTTCATATGTTAATGTGATATGTGGATGGCAAAATTTTTTCTTTGATACTGATTCTCCTTTAAATAATATTAAATGGTCAATTTATATTTCGTTTTATATCTATATGAAATCGCAATATTTGCTTAAGTTATTCCAATTTGATAATGATTATCTTTCGGAGAGAAAAAGAGTATGTCTAAGATTCGACATACTCGGTAGCATCTCAAAAAACCGGCAGGTCAGCGTCGTTCATGTTTATAATATCCATTTATTTTCCCATTAACCACTCCACTTTATATACAAAATTAAAAGTCTTTTTTCTCTGTGAATATGAACTGATGAAGATGATAAAGCATGCCATTAGATGTAACTTTCGATGCTCTATTCAACTAGAAGTATCGGTTACATATGTGTTGGTCATGAAGATTTGCATGCATCATTCAGAAAGTTAGTAGTACAATAAACGAAGGGAAAAAGTTATGCTAATTATGGTGACGAGAAATTTATAAATTCGAGTATTATATAAAAGAAAAAAAATGGATCGTTTGGGAGCATGAGCAGCAGAAGAAAAAATGATGGCTAGATGCGATTTATTGAAAACAAAAATTTTTATTTTCCAAGCTGATACAAGGAAAAATGGTTAAGTTGGACTTCAACATATAGTGAATGTGCTGCTGAAACATATATTTACCTACAAAGAAATATTCAAAAGAACAATTTTGATGTGGTGATGAATGTAGAATAGGTAAACAGCGAAAAGCAGAATTTTTATAATCTACTTAAAAATTTTAACTGTGTAGCATCTAATGCGCTAAACGTTATAATTCAACACAAATTCAGCTGCTTTAAGATCGAACAATCTATCGCCAAGTGGATTCAAAACTAAAGAATACAACGCTGGTTAAGTTTTATGGCAACCGAGATTTTCAAAAATGTTAACTCAGAGACACAGTGTGTGTACACAATTCTTCTCACCTTAGCTATATAGATTTTGATGCACTCTTTCGATTGACGCCAAACTCGTGGTTCATCATTCAAAAATTGTGACTATCACATAGTTTTGAACTCGGTAAAAACAACTACACAAGATGAGAAATGCACTCACTCATCCGCAAAATCAAATAAAGACATAAAGCCACAATTTTCCAAGTCGAGCAGGCGTCATGAGGTCGAGCAGTACTGCAACTTTATGCGTTCTTTCGCGTGTTCGACAAAAAACGGCGTTAGAAACGAACAAAGATTGATTTTTCTTGCTACATTCCGCATCAGGAAAAACAAGAAACAATGCCTCGTGGTTAATACTCTGTACATTTAAATAGTACAAACTTTGAGATTGTTTGTGTAAACTTTGTTTTTAATTATATTACTTTACTCAATAAAACAAATACCGACACAGGTAGTACCCCCCCATAACAGAAGACCATCCTCTATTGGAATACTACTGCCGGATGTATGACTTGAAAGCCAAATAGAAGACCAAGATCTTCGAACTCCTACAAGGCCAGTGGTTTTCTATTATGGCCGCGAAAAAAATCGGAAAATGACATATACCTATGAAGAAATTTTCAAAATAAATTCGCTAAAAACTACTTCTAATTGGGGACAGACTTCAAGT